CCCCGCGCCGCCGCGCTTATATCCCCGCCGCCGTGACGAAGCCCCGGCAGCTACGTCGCCTCGTGCAGCGCCGCCCCGGGGCTCCCCGCCCCGCCCCGGGGACGCGGCCGGCGGGGGAGGGAGCCCCGGACACGCGCGTCTTCGCGGTCCCCAGATGGAGGGGAGGGGAGCCGTCCTGGGCAAAAGGCTGCGCAGAGAAGCCGGTGTCTGATACTAGACCCGGAGAAGTGGGGCTGGAAGAGCCCTTCGGACACCCCTGCTGAGGCCCCAGCGTCCCCTGCCCTGTCCCCATCCCCATGCGCATCCCGTCCTGTCCCCATCCAAATATCCTACCCTTTTCCTATCCAAATATCCCATCCTGTCCTTATCCACATATCCTACTTTATTCTTATCCACATATCCTACCCTGTCCCCATCCAAATATCCTACCCTTTTCCTACCCAAATATCCTACCCTCTCCCTATCCAGATATCCTACCCTATCCCTCTCCAAACCGTCCCATGCCATAAAGACCAAGCTGGAGCTGGACACAAGGCGTCACACGCTAACCTGCCATGAGGCCAGCAGGAGCACCAGGCAGCCACAGTCCTGCTTCTGTCTAAGGTTGTTCATTTGCCCTCACGAAATCCCAGGTAGATTACCTCAGGAAATCCCAGTTAGAAGGCCATGACCCAGTTACAGAGGAAGGCAAAACCCCCAAACGGTCTGAGCATGGGGGAAAATGAACCAGCCCCACAGTTAATTTTGAAACCTGGGCTTGAAACACAAATGGCGAGGCCTGATTTTTAAAAGAAGGATGTGGTTGGAAGCATGTTTCACACTCGGGTGTGTTATATATGGTAAATCTTGACAGAATCTGAGCACTGTTTTTTTTAAAGCAGTGGGAGATTAACTAAGTCCTGCACATAAAGCTCCTTCAGGTTTCTGTCCCCGTACAAGTCTAATTGTTCCCTTTATTGGGATCTGGCATGTTGGCAAATGTGCGTTGGTATTGCATTCTCTTTCTTTCACAGCCTTTTGTCAGACGTGCGTGGTGCGTTGTTCTTCTGAAACACATTTATCCTGCGGTTTCTTAGATTTCACTTTACTAGGCAGGATTGAAAATACGGCTTGTGTTTTCCTATTCACTTAGGAATTTAGAACATTTTTGTTATTATTTATTGATACTGTAGTACCTAGGAGCCATAGTCACTTGGACCAGGTATATAAACCGCTGTATAAACACTGTACAAATACCGAACAAAAAGATGCCCCTGACCCAAAGCATATGTGCATGTACTTGCACATGTCTATAATGAGAGTGTACTAGAACTGGACCGATATACGGTAAAACATAAATGACTTAAAATTACTCTGTTTCACCTGAGCAAACCAGCATGGCTGAGCCTGTCTTAACTCAAAGATGGGCAAACTGTGGCTCAGAAGCCACATGCAGCTCTCAGGTAGCTTAAATGTGGCTCTTGAAAGTCATTTAATAGCAAAGTATTATTACACTGGGGCACCATGCACAGATCATTGATGTCTTCAGAGGTGTGTTGGGCTTATCAACATATTGGTTAGCAAGCATCTAGAAGGGCTAGGGAATTTTGTCACCCATGTCCTGAATGCTGCAGTCACTATACCATAACCAGATAATAGCCACAACTACCTAGACATTTGCATTTATATGCTGAATAGCTCACCCGAGTATCACTTAAGAGTTATTATTTACGTTAGCCCTCAATGTGCCAGGTTCTTTACAGACAGTAAGGCTGGTTTCTGCCCCTAGGAAATTGCAGTGTGATGCCATCATCCTGGAAGCTGATTAATGTGAACAACTATATTGGCTGTTATCAGGAGGCACCATGACAGTGTAAGGACTTGCTCATGCAGATCAGTTTTCAGGACTGAGGCTAGTGCAGACAATATAGAGGCAGAGAGAGGGCTGGGACAAATGAAACAAGTGATGGACAAATGAGACTGAGAAGGAAGGAAGCAATTCACAGAGGAAGCTGTGGGATGGTTTGACCAGTACAACATGCAATTTTTCTGTTTTAACCTATTAGACAGTGGAAACCACTTACGTCGCAAGACAAATAAGAATGACAATTCATTAAATGGAACAAACCTCAAGGAAATGATATTTTTCCTGTTGGACTGAATGAATATCCTGTCACTTTGCCAAGTTAATTATAATTGCTCAAACCATATTCTTGGGATGATGTTTGGCTCAGCCTGTTGATTACAACTGAAAGTGTTAATATGGCAGCTAAAGGTCACCAAGTGCTCACAGCAAATGCTCTCAGCCTGTTTCACAAAACAGCGAGCAAGAAATGGCCTTGTCAGTTTAAATAATGGAGGCGATGGTGAAATGATGCAAATGTTTCAGTTATGTGAACTGAATTGCCAAAGTATAGTTATTATTCCACGTAAGTTTAAGTAAACTTTGTTTAAATGGGATATTACTTAACTGGGATAAGCTGGGATCTACCAAAGTATCTTGATTAAGCTGCTTCTAGGCACAATTAAATGCGTCCCACACCCAGTAAAAGCTCATCTTCAGCTAGCTGATAAGGAGTTGAATGTTCCTTCTTAACTTGATACTACCAGAAAATTGTCACTTGAGTGGTTCTGCGAGGGTTTATGAACCTCTTTGTCCAGTGCTTTTGAGTTACTTTCTTACATTGCCAGTCAAACCACAGAAGCTGGCAGGTGAGATCTGTTTTCTCCTTGTCTGACAATTTCCTGGTGGAGAAAGGCATCACCCCATGAACACAATAAACCAGTTATTCTCAACCAGGGTGCCATGGCAGGCAGTCCAGCTTTGAGATGCATTCAAGCAGTGTTATCACTGTTAGGTGTGCAAACATCATACGATATAAACTCAGAGATTTCAAACAGGAATCCATAATGTTAAAAACATTCTGACCCATTGTGGTCTCTCTGAGTTCATTGCAATACAAAAGCAGCGTCTGTTATTTTTCTGCAGCCAAAAAATGAGTGAAAACGAAGAGCTTCCATTTTCTGAGGTATTTTCCCAGAGCCTAATGAGGCATGCCTTTAGGCTAAAAAGCTGAGATCCCTGCAACAAACACATACTACATGCATGCATTCAGTGAAGAACTGGGTGCTGAGGTACAGGTGATGTTGCTAATACCACATATGACTTAGCAAGTGATTGAAAGCAACATTTTAAATTCAAGAGCAACAAAAAGGAAATCAGATGTATTCTAACACTGATGAGAATCCTACATATTTTTCTGGTGTGACTGCAAGGTGGAGTCATCTCTAGGAGAGACAACATGAGTAGGCTTGTCACAGCAACAGGAGATAATATAAATATATAACAAAAACGTCAGGGAAACAATGCTTCAGGGAAAGCAGGAAAATAGTCAACTAAACATAAAATACAATAATACGTGATTTCGTGCCGTATATGTGAATGGGTGTGTGAACTGATACACAAACCCTACAAGAAGGACCCAACTTATTACTGCAATTTATGGTTTCAATCTACTTTTAAAAAACCTCAGAGAATGTAAAAATGTTATTGATGACTGCATGAGAAAGTCAAGTCCAGGCATGCATTGTTCAGTTCATGTGTTGGAAACAGTCACGTGGCTCTTTGGTAACTTTTGTGAGGGCTCTTGGAGACTTCCTTACGTGGACCCTGGAGCATACAGTAATAAACCAGGCATTTCAACACTGTGGGATGTGCTAATTCCAGGCTCTGAGGTACTTGGCACTGGGTTATGAGAGTTGCCTTTTTACAGAAAGTGAGATGGCCTTGG